GAATATCTAGTCAGATCCGACTGCAACGTGGCGAAGGAGAGAGATTCTACATGTGCACACAAAAAGAAACGCGTAGGCGCAAACCCGGTTTTCGGAGCTTAAACGCCGTGCTGGAAAAGGGTTCTTTTAACAGGCCAGCGCAGCAGCCCCACCGACAATGTTCTAAACACCACGTTTACGCTTGACGCTTTTACGGCTGTGCGTAAAAACTCACGCCACATGGTTTCATTCACACTCAAAAAATAAAAATACGCAAGGAAACGCTTTCAGAATGAGTGCTTGGACCGTCATTGCTGGCCGCCTGAATGCGCCGGAAATGAAGTTCGTCTGCAGCGTTTGTCATTCACTACATGGGTCTTGCGCTTTATGTCCCGCACAGTTTTTATAAAGCCGTGGGTCTCGATGCTTGTTTCGGCTGCTGCACATGTTACCTCTGCGTGACACGAGCCTGCTTCTGATTTCCAAGAGCTGTTATCTTTGTATACGAAATGTGACAGGCTACTTTATGCGTCCACCTAAGAGGCCTCGGAGGCAAACGCTAGCTACGGTCTCTTTCTACGCTGTCTATAGGTCTACACTGGACGTTATCGGGCCCCCACATAGTACTCTGTGGGCCTAACGAGCTCTCGCTCGACCTCCTGGATAGGATGCCTTGCTGTCCATCTCCTCCTCACGTGGTTTTAAACTGCCTCCGTGAACGGCTCACTTTCGACCAAGCGACGATCTCATGTGATGACGTCACCACATTGCAACAGCTTGCATTACGTCATGATGTTGACAATATTACGACTTACCAGTGAAAGTATCCTGTGTTCATAACCTGCATCACGCATGCTGTCACCACAGACACCGACAGTCATGTTCACGCTTCATGAGGCGTCTTATATTAATAATAAAAAATGCCATGATAATTCTCCGTCCGAAAATCACGATATCATTATGAAAGAAGCCGTAGTGGAGGGCACCGGAAATTTCGATGATCTGGCGTCTTTTAACACGCACAGACATCACATAGTACACGGGTGTGTGCGATTTCACCTTCTTTGGCCACGACCAAGTGTCGAATCTGCGCGCTTCAGGTCAGCAGTGGAGCATCCTAGCCACTGATCCACCGAGGTGGACATATGAGGCATCCAGGGTTTTGCTTTACTAAGAAGCACCGTTGTGATGTTCGAAGGAGGAGAGCACACGCGCTCACAACGTAGCATAAAGTCGTATCTTATGCTGCACTGCACAGCTATAGAGAATATCACTTCTTTCCATCATTTCTTCAAGCTCCCCGAAAAGAGTATCACTTCTAAACAACCACACGTACGACCTGTTTCGTGGAAACACCATTCGAAAAATATTGACTCTGAACTCGTGTTGCGGTAAGTGACGGAATTACCAAATCGTATGATACCAAACAGCGCACAGTCCCACTGTCTTCATAGAAGCACTTGTAGGGTTGACTTCGTTTTACGACATGATTAAAGAAAAAAAACTCTCCAAACAACATTTCGTTGTGAAAACTAAATGACCCACACAAACAAAGACATCAATCCACAACAAATAGGGGTGTTTTGTTCTCCTGGGGTGCTATGCAAGTTGATCCGAGTTGGATGAAACTCGATAGCTTTTCAAGCTTTCGCACCCACTCCCCTCACTTCTGAACGAGCTAGCGCTACGAAAAGGCCAAATCTATCTCTCAACGCCCACTGCGTGTCATTGGTTACGGTGTAACGGGGCGTCAGGTCGAAGCCGACCGACAAATATAGGTGATGTCTTCAAACCAGAAGCAATTTCTTTCGTTTCTTTGTCAATTCACTTAGTGCAGAAGTGCACCCATGCATGAAAGTGTAAGAAACTTTTACTAACGAAATTTTTCTAGGTATACGCACCTTATGTTTATTTTTACCCGTTCAAGGTCTGCGCAAAGCATCTTTTAGAAGAATCAGCACTGTGAGATTAGTGCCGGCTGAGCACCCTACCACACCGCACCTGAAGCTAACCGCCGAGGCCACCTGTGCAGTCATCATAACCGGACTAGTGATTCTAGCGGGATGCTTAGCCGGCAAAGGCTTCTTCGTTCCCTTGTTGATGCGGTTCGTCTTCACGAGCACGTGTGCCGGCTGATTGCAAAATGGCTTGTTGATTCACGTGGCTAAATAAGTGTATACCTGCTATGACCAAGCTAATTAAGCGAAGTCATACTGAGACCGAGCGAATTGAGCCACATTTTGCTAATGGCGAAATAACGAAGCTGTACGTGTGAGGATTAAACCAAGCTAGTTTGGACCAGAGTAACAACAGCGCAAATTAGGAGTGCGCTAACTAAATCCAAGCTAACCAAGACCCCACTTACGAACACCGTGCAAATTGGAACTATGCTCATTAGCAGCACACTAACTTAGAGTGTGTTAGCTAAACATGGAATACCTAACTTTGCGGTGACTAAGTCATTTTCAATTAAGACAGAACTACTCTATGTTATGGTAACTAAGGCCTAACTAACGATACCGTTTAGATTGAGAGTGAACTGATGTTGTTATTCAATCCGAAACAAACCGAGCAGATTGAGAATGAGCTCCCCTGAAGGCCTTGCCTAAATAATGCAAACTGATCAAAATCTTTTATATGCAATGATATTGCTGCATAGCATACACCGCATGAAACGCTTGACTGTCACACCAGAATTACGACAGTCACGAGTAAAACTACGGCTTTCTCAAAATGAAAGAGCTTGTACACGAGTTCACACGTCAGTCAGTTTGATTCATCGACCCCCTCGGTGGAAATCAGGTCCACTGACCGCATTTGTTTTTAGCGAAAAGTCGTGCAAATTTCTCAGGGCCAGCGAGTCTCGACTCACCTGTCGGCTAATTAGCACGCACTAAGCAAACAGGCATGAAGAACGAAACGTTACATAATCATGTCAGCACAATGTCTAGCATTCAGTGTCACGGTGCTCACGACTTACCCCTCACAGCTACGAAGCAACTACTCCGGGTGGCATTTGCGGCGACAAGTGTTGCTATTTACTTTTTTGTGGAGACAATGCTTTTGCTGATTCGCTAGAGTAGCAAAGTCTTCAGACGTACAATGCAAGCAGATGTAACGTGTCCATTTGTTTATTGGTAATATTCGTCTGAAGTGAAACAAACTGCACGAAAGTAGTGCGTTAGTGTGCTTGCTGCCTTCAAGACCGCGAGTTTTCTTGTCGCAGGTAGAACTTAACGGTTCGCCGATAAGAGGACATACACCCGCGAGCATACTTATGGGAGGAGTAATGTACACTTGAAAAAAGGGTATAGTGGGACACCCCCGCTGGCAGTGCTGCACAGTTCACATGTTTGCTGACTGGCGCCACTGACGCGTTTTCACGCGGTGTATCTAAGTAAACCACCTCAAATGGCATTCGTGCGTTTGTGGTGCCATGACTTTTTTGTGACTGCTTTACGCAAACCACGCGGGGTGTGATACGTCTAAGTTGGGCTTGGGGAGCTCGTCCGCAACCTTCAGTGCCAAAGAAGCCAGGGTCATGCTGCAAAGCTTCCATGATCTCCTCTTTCGTCCCTGTTTGCACATTTCAGTTCCATTATGAATTCATATTGCTGAACAATATACCACGTTCACTTCCATGGTACAGTGGTCACGGCGCCCATCTGCGGAACCGAAAGCCTCAGATTGTATACAAGACTCTGCAGTTGCATTACAATGAAATCCGAAGGCTACAGAAATCATAACATGTCCATGTATCCTAGAAACGCCAGAAGGTCGAAATTTCAAAGCTCTGCTGTACAGCTTACCCCATAACCATATTATGGTGTCAGCACCTAAATGGTCAGGCAATATTTTCACTAGTAATATATTTGATTTTTTTTACGAAATATTGAGCGCCTGTGACTGATTTCTAACTCTGACCTCTGTGTATTGTTTGCCTTGTTATTGTCTTTAACAGTGGAGTGACAACTAACGCAAACGGCATTTTAATAACTTGAAATTAAACACAGAAAAAACATATCCACATTTGGCCACTTCATATAAAAACCAGAGTGGAAGATTTTACTCCTTGGCAATCAGAAAACGCTTCAATGAATATCGACGCGTCGTCTGCAATCATATTTCCGGTTTCATTTTGAATGTATTTTATTACTTCTCACTATAACTTAGGTTATAGCTACATACATAGACATCACCATAAACTGAACATATTTCCTTTGCAACACTGCAACGGTGCTGTTTTTTTTTCAGAGTACCCTAGAAGTTTCGAACGATTTTTCGAGGATGTATGCTCTTTACGTTACACCGAACTTCTATTCCTTGTTGACAATTTTTCATATTGACATTCACTGTTTCTTGTTTAGTTACTCTTCTCTATATCCAGCACTCCAGTCCTGCGAATGCTCTTGAAAGCTGCATTGAGTTAGAATAATGAAAACAAATAAATGTTTAACTAAAACCTACACAGGCACCAATGCACAATGCCGCAAAAAGAAAATCAAACGAAACCAGGGCAATTACAACGAGTGGGATGCGGGGAGACGCTTGCAAGTTGAAAGCACTTGATTGGATGCGGTTTTCATTCAGTGAAAGGAAGCAAATGGAGCTAAGGTGGAGTGGTCCTGAAAACATGAGAAAGTGGCTAACCACAATGAGAACCGTAGTGCCCAAGGAAGGGAACCGTTAGGCATGGCTGATGCCACGAGCGTTCCTTTTTTCCTTTTTATTTCGCGAAACAGTAGCACTCGTAGGGTAATGATGAAGATAGTGAAAGAGAAAAACAGGTAAGGAAAGACGCAGTACACCACGTGACTTTACCGCGAGACGCCCCCGCTCCTCTCTGCCTATCCTTCTCCCTGCTCATCTAGGGTACAAAAGTGGCCACTGGTGCCCCTTGAATAGTCGGGAGACACATTCTACAACCTTGTCATCCACGGCCTCAGTTCCTCTGTCTCCCCTTTTTCCCGTGTACCCGTGGGCCACATATACATACGAGGGAAATCCTGCTGCCGGGAAGAACAAGTCCAACCGAGCCTTCGAGCATCGCGACTTTATTTCTTCTCCAAATCTCACAGTGCGACTGAGCTACTCTAAAGGTGAGTGCATTTGCTATAATTACCGTGCACTGACCAGAAGGAGCTGCTTTGCCCGCACTGCCCGGATCCTAGTTCGCTGATATTGCCCGCTAGAATGGAATGAAAAAACTTTATTTAATGAAAAAACTTTATTTATTTGCCCGCTAGACGCAAGCAGAAAACAGACGTGAGTTGAATGCGAGCACGCGTTTCCCACGTAACCTGGTCACCATCATGCAGAGAGGGAGACGGGCGTGTCACGTTTCATTTGAAAGAACATCGCCTCATTATTGCTTTTTTTATTCGTTAGGATTTGCACTCGGGTGTTGTCGTCACACAGCAAAACTCCACTGTACGCTGCCTATGAAAAAATTGGCAGCATATCCACCGTGTGAATGATGGAGAGTGAGGCGAAGCATTCGTCTGTCCATTCGTTCTTGCTTGCGCCCATCCATGCGTCTGTCAGTGTGACCATACATGCGTCCATTCGCCCATTCGTGCGTGCGTCTGTTCGTGCGTCCGTCCCTACGTTCATCCATGCATCCGCCCCTGCGTCCGTTCATGCGTCCATCCATGCATCTGTCTGTGTGTCCGTTCGTACATCTATTCAACACTCCAAGTACCATCATGTCGCATCTTTTCATCATATATTCCCCATAGAGAAGCGCCGCCATCCAGCGGATATTCCAAGGACTAAACGAGAAGTGGCACAGGGACACTTTCTTACGGCTTGTGCTTCGGGTCTACTTCGCAACTTTAACCACCTCGAGTTTATGGTATATACTAGTTCACTGTATTCACGGCAGTGCGGCCCAACGCTCGCTAAACCTTTCTAAAACCAAGGAGGTTACGTTCAGAGAGTATAACGTAGCAACCCTTTTTAGGGGCGAAGCTCCTTAGGGCGTGCGCTGTGCGTCCCCTGTAGGCTGTATGTAGCCACCTCTAGTTTAGTTCTTGAGGTGTTCACTAGATGGCGGTACCGTCCCCTGTATGTCTGTCTTAGAACGCGCCTTAGAACGTTGCCTTAGAACGCGTAGTTATAAAGCAAGATTCAGTAAAGAAGAAGAACAATGCACATGCTGCGGGAAAGATAAGGAAACGGCGGAGCATGTTCTGATTGAATGTGGAGATATCCACCCAGGTGTACGTTTGGGCACGAGCCTACAGGAAGCCTTGGGTTTTAGGGACAAAAATGGAAAGCTGAACACACCCGCGATTGAAATAAGTAAGAGACGGTTAGAGTATTGGTGGCAGAAAATTAGAGAGAAAGGACAAAAATAAATATTGGAAAAATAAAATATGGACAGTGTGCCGTAAATGGCAGAGAACTTAAGCTGAAAATTTACCTTTTTTCCCATTAAGATAGAATTTATCGAAGTAGAGGCATTAGGCCAACATCAAAAAAAAGAAAAAAGGGTTTTTTTTTGTCGAGCCTGGTGGCATACTTGTCACCACCCCGTTATAAAGGGGACGCTCATAGCATCCATCCATCCATGTAGCCACCTCTAGTTTAGTTCTTGCAGTGTTCACTAGATGGCGGTACCGTCTCCTGTATGTAGCCACCTCTCGTTTAGTTCTTGTAGTGTTTACTAGATGTTGGTACTTGTAGCTGATGATGAAAAGATGCAAGATGTTATAAACTAGAAAGCGGTACTTGTAGTTAATGAAAGACGCGAGATCTTATAAAATAGGAATGACGTCACATATGGCGCGTGTCATTGGTTGAAGGCAAACGTTCGATTTAGTGCGGCGACGTACGCTAGGGGGAGCGATGTGATAAAATCGAGTGGGCAAAATGTAGAGAGGATTCATGGTTTACCAGGTTTACCTCCGGAGCTTCGCCCACTCATCATCATTCACTTCGTGGATATGGCGAAATTTTTTTCTCAGATAGTGCTCAATGTACATGCCAATGGCTGCTAATGGGAAAGGAGAGAAAAGAGAATTCGGCTTTTACTTTCTTACGGCTTGCGCTTCGTATCTACTTCCCACCATTAACCACCTCGAGTTCATGGTATATACTAGTTCATTGTACTCATGGCACTGCGGCTCAACGCTCACTAAACCTTTCTAAAACTAAGGAGGTTACACCGAGCGAGTATAACGTAGCAACCCTTTCTTGTCAGACAGTGCTCAATGTATATGCCAATGGCTGCTAATGGGGATCGCAGCGTGCGCGATAACTAAAAGCCGAATGCTCCTGTCTCTCATATTCCCTTAGCAGCCATTGGCATGTACATTGAGCCCTATCTTTTATTGTTCAACAACGCACACAAGAAATCTCTCACAGGCACAACCTTGGAAGTCAAAATGTTAAACTTGTTACACACTACAACGGCTACGAGGGACAAACAAGGGCCGCTAAAAGGAGCTTCGCCCCTAAAACATCTTCTGCAGTCCTTCTGTACATCTACAGGTTGTAGTGTATTGCCTCTGTAGGCAACGCGACGCGCACAACAGGAACATTGACCCCCGCATCACCCTCCACCACCGGCAATGCCTTTCTCGCAAGTGCCGTGATCCTCGGCGCCCAGACGGGCAACCAGCCATTTTTGCCTTTTTCCCGCGGCTTGAAGATCATGCTTGCGCTTCTCTCAGCAGTTGGCCTTTGGACTTGCTATATGATGGATGCATGTCGTTCTCTTGCAAGGAGAGCGGGACTTGAAAGAGAACGGACAAACATAGATGGACGAACCGGCAATATCAAGCTCCTGCTGCGAAATGTGATGCCATGTTCACTGGTTTTTCTGAAGTAAAGCAGCTCTAAGTTTTGAGAATTTTTTGCTAAGAGGTAAATCGGCACAACATCGAGCTTAAAACAAAATTTACATTTACTTATTTTAACTGTGCATACTGTGAGCATTTCCCGCGCTGCTAAAGGAGCGAGGGAATACTATACAGATACATGAAGCAAATATTTGCAAACCTTAGAAAAAGAAGAGTAAGGTCCCTTTTGATGAACGTAATTAACACATTTGTTGATTTGATTGATATGTGTGGTTTAACTTCCTGAAACGACCACATGATTATGAGAGACACCGTGGTGGAGGGCTCGGAAAATTTCGGTCTATCGGGGTTCTTTAACTTGCGCCCAAATCCGAGCACACTTGTCTACATCTATTTTGCCTCCATCGTAAATGCAGTTCCGCGGCAGGAATTCGTTCCCGCTACATGCGGGTCAGCATCCGAGTACTTTACCCACTAGTCTACTGCGGCGGGGCAATCACCACAACTACGTGAATACGGGAAGGGGTCGTTATAGTGCAGACTGCTTTCAATGAGGTAATCTTGTAATTGTAGGTTTAGGTACAGAAGCCACTACCGTTTGTCATGGTTACACTTTTCTCACCCTTCTTTGAATAAAACTCTGGCAAACACATGCTACAGCGTCGAAACAAACAACACACGTTCTGTAAAATATCGATGAGACACATGAAAAAGTTGTCACAGCATAGCTCTCGCAAAATAAAAAAAACGTGACTGTTAGGATTGATTACTGTGACTAAGTGAAATGATTGGAATAGTTGGGTGTATGTTTCTTCAAGCAAGCATGTCGAGAAATTGGCCACTGGAACTCTGCCCAGCTGTAAAATTACCCTTTCTACACTTACAATGATAATAGTTGAGGCTTCGCATCTCAAAACAACAATTGGATTATAAAGGGCATCCTAAAGGAAGCCTCCAGAAATTTTCATTCTCTAGTGCTGTTTACATGGACGTGAATTTACGTACACGTGTTTCTATTACGTTGGCCTCTACCGAGATGCTGTAACAGAGGCAGGGATTCCTCTCCCTCCCCCTTTCTATTGATGACTAGTGGGTTGATGGCGTTTGTGTTTGTGCTGGTCTAGAGCTTACAGCAAAAACGCTTCCATCCGGTAACTTTAGAGTCTGTGGGCGGTAATGCTACGCCGATTCAACCCATATATGCTCAGTGTCCTTCATGCACGACACTTCTTTGGTTGTAATATTGTTACTTCTTAGCAGAGGACTAAGCCTACCTGCAGCAAAGCGAGCAAGTATGTGGAGTGTGTTAGCTTACGTGTTGCTTCCTCTGGTCATTGCCACGTGTGGACTGATTCATTTGGGTGAACGCGTACTCTTAGCAACGACCACCCAGGAGAGGAAGGAGATGTATTACCATTTCTGTGATTTCAAATCGCTGCGACATCTTTTTTGCCCAGCTCATAGTAGGTGAGAAACTAAACAGGCTTAATAATCATGAAACATAATAAATAAGGTGTCAGAGGGCGATGTCAGTAAAACGTCGAAGCTGAGGTGTTTACATGGTTTGCTTGCTGGGAATTGTTTTTTGAGCGAGAGACAAGTGGTCCTCATCCGGTGAAGACAACGAAGACAGTCAGTAAGCCAAAATCACACAAGTACATACACATAGAAAGCCAGCGGGCAACGAGGAAACGGATGAAGAGCACGACGGGACAGGCTGGCACGTAAACTGGTTAAATTATTGCTTGAAACTAAAACAAAGCGCGCGCGCATGTTCCAAGCAGCCATACGTCATGTAGAACACATTCTTAATGACATATCGCGGCGTCTAGAAAGGTCATCTCTTTAATGTATTGGTGCACTGACGTGTCTGTGACAAGTGCACAATAGTTTTCACTTTTGTTAACCTAGAACCTTTCAAAAATTGTTCTCTCGTTATGATCTTCCTGCATTTTCGTGTTTCCAACTCGCATTTTATGCGTATCGACAAGTACAAACTGGCCCAGTTCATCGCCTTGGTGACCCAAGTCTGGCACTCAACAAAAAATGCAGGACTTTAAGACAAAGCCGCACCACGCTCTGCTTGCACACAATAAAATGTGATTACACTTCTTACACTTCTTTATTACACTTCATTACAGAAATCATTACACTTCTTGGTTAGATAACGAACCTTGTACGGGGATAAAATAAGGCTCTTGAAACCTTTTCGAGTGGTCTTTGACAGTGTCTCAACAAAATGTGACAGCTGTGTGAGCCCGCAGCAGCTGTTTTAGAGAAGATCGAAAAGTCGC